TTGCTCAGACTCTTACTGGAGTGGTGGTCTCTTTCTTTGCAAACTTATTTCTAATAGCATGCATGTACCTATGCACATAAAGTTAACTAAAAAAATTTTTAAGAGGGAAAGGGTAAATTACCAAAAGAAAACTGTGTCATTCACATGACAGGTAGGGAGGACTCAGGGACAAACCCCAGCCAGCAGATCAGAGTGCAGCACATTGGGAATGGGCCAATTTATGGAATCTGCTATGTTATTCTAAAAGCATCTGGATCTTGTACCAGCCTAAGTAAATCAAACAGGAGCGCTTAATGGAGCGTTTTTTTCCAAGAACAAGTACAGACTATGTTATTGACACAAGTCACAGGGAACCTGAGAGGCTGTTGATGGAGATGTTAGGAAAGCTGATGTGCTTTCTGTTCCAATCTTTGCTACTACATATATGTGGGTGCAATTGGCCTGAGCTCTAGAGAAGAAAACCCTGGAATGAGACAGAAGAGATCTGGAATCTAGTCTGAGCAAGTGGCTTCACTTCTTCATCCTCACTTTTTCTTTCTTTTGTCAGTATTATTTCTCTACATGTCTACTCTATTATCACTATCCCCTCTTTCAGAAAATAGTATGGTTCTAAAAGACTAAGCTAATACTGGCAGGAACTGGAGGAATTCTGGGTCTATCTTTCCATTCTGCTGCATTATCTATTATACAAAAGGGCTGGATCAGAGAAACCAAGGCATTTCCAGAGCTACACGAACAAACAACCGCCCTCCCCACAAAAAATAAATAAATAAATAAATAAAAAATTTTATAAAAATTAAAAAAAAAAAAAAAAACCACAAAACTATTCTTGGTGCCTGAAACTGGTTTCAATAAGATTCTAAATATTCTAGGGCTAGACAAAGCCATTTAAAAAAACAAAATAAACAAACAAAAGCCATATACAGGTATTTTACCTGCACATAATGTCTATGCACCACTTGTGTGCCTATTACAGGTGGAGTACAAAGAGGGTCTGAGACCTCTGAAAAGCAACCAGTGTCATCTCTCCAGCCCCTAAAACTCAACTCTTGAAGAGCCTTCTAGTGGGGCTAGGAAGATGATACCATGGTAAACAGAGCTTGCTGTTCGTGCAGATGACCAGAGTTTGGTTCGCAGCACCCACATCAGGCACCTCACAACCACCTATAGCTCTAGCTCCAACGCCAGTTCTGGCACACACACCACATACACACAAATACAAAGAAAAGGAAAGCCTTCTCTCAAATGAAATCTTCTCAACCAAGAGCAAAAGCCAGAATACAAATACAGCTTGAGAACAAGACAGTGGCTCTCTAAAGCTTTCTGCCTTATGCCTCCTTTTATAGCTGAGGGAAGTGAAACTTAGGAATGAATTGCTTTCCCAAGGTTGGGCAGACTAAAGTTCAGAACCCGAAGTGCCACGTTCCCTTTTTTATTTTATTTTATTTTTTTATTTTATTTTATTTTTTTTTGGTTTTTCGAGACAGGGTTTCTCTGTGTAGCTTTGCGCCTTTCCTGGAACTCACTTGGTAGTCCAGGCTGGCCTCGAACTCACAGAGATCCGCCTGGCTCTGCCTCCCGAGTGCTGGGATTAAAGGCGTGAGCCACCACCGCCCGGCCCCTTTTTTAAATCTAATTATTTAACACATGGTCTGAGGATTTATTTCAGTCGCTGACGGGTAAACACCACTCTGTACCAGGCTTCTTCCCTTGTCCTTTTTTCTCTCTTCCCTGCCTTTTCTCTCTCTTTCAAGGAAGAAGTTTTTGATTTAAGGTTGCATCTTGTGAAGGAAAATGTGGCAGAGCAGAGCAGTTTGCATCATGGCAGACAGGAAACAGAGAAGGGAATATGGGACCCTGGAATATACAATCCAAAGACATACCTCCAGTGACCTGCTTCCTCCAATTAGCCAGGGCAGGTATTTTTCCATCATCCATTAGCATCATAATAACCACAATAAGATCTAACTTTGCAGATGAGGAAAACTATAGGTCAGTGAAGTTAGTCACTCAGGAGATAAATGTCACAGCAAAGACTCAAATCTCAGTATAAATCTGACTCCTTTAAGGTTATATGGTTTCCGGTTTTGAAGACTATATTCAACAATGGAAAAAGAAACACTAACTGACCCCCAAGTTATTTCCTCAAGAGTCTTTTGTCTCTTGCCCTATGCACTACTGTAGCTCTTGATAAGTTCAGCTAACTGCAGAAATGAAAGGAAATGGTAATAAAGGTAAAAGAATGGAAACTCAGATAAGACAAAAATGCTGGGGAAAAAACCCCAGAGACTTTTGTATGCTATTCCTTCCCCTCCAAGCTCATCCTCTGGAGTAGCTAGGACTATAGTCCTTTACCTCTCTGCTTTGTGTTAATGGAGTCTTTTGTAATAGGTTTTCCCAATTTCTCTACCTAAGCCCCATTAGGTAAATTCCCTACAGCATCTCTTACTGATCTCAAAAATCTTTCTATCACAGTACTGAACTTTGAACCTAAGACAGAAGTGGCCTTGTACCTTCATGCGTTTGTTCATTCATTCCTTTTCTTCTTTTAGAGAAAGGGTCTCAGGAAGTGTCCAGGCTGACCCTGCATCTCTATAACCAGAGCAGGCCCTGACCTTATGACCCTCTGGCTTCAGTCTCCCAAGTAGCTGGGATTATAGGCCTGTGCCACCAGGCCTAGCTTTATCTCATAATCCTAGCAGCACAGCTGCTAACAGACCTTGGTTTCCTGAACTGTCGTTTCCAATTTCCTGACTTAGATTCTGACCTCACAGCAGTGTTCTTAGGCTCAGGACTCCCTAGAAGTGTCCTTTCGCTGATTTGATCTATAGGACCTACTAGTTCCTCTCTTGCTTAGCCATCTTTTTCTCTGCCCACTGTTTCAATAATACAGTAAGAAAACATTTTTTTATTTTTTATTTTTATTTTTATTTTTTATTTTTTATTTTTTGGTTTTTCGAGACAGGGTTTCTCTGTGTAGCTTTGCGCCTTTCCTGGAACTCACTTGGTAGCCTAGGCTGGCCTCGAACTCACAGAGATCTGCCTGGCTCTGCCTCCCGAGTGCTGGGATTAAAGGCGTGCGCCACCACCGCCCGGCAAGAAAGAACATTTTTAGTTTTAATAAAGCAAGAAAAGGAGGGGCACATATACACTTAGTAATAATAATAAATGCAATTTTTTAAATCAATGGCCCAAGCCTTAAGAACCAGAAAAAGAAACAAAGTATATAAAGCAAATAGAGATTAGGAAATAACAGATTAAAGTAAGAAAAATCAATGGAACAACAAACTAATAAAACCAAAAATTCAGTCTTTGAAAAGATTATAAAATGTATAAACCAACAGACAAAAAAAAATAGGAAAATACAAATTACTAAAACTAGGAAGAGAGATGCTCTGATTTTTATGTAAAAGGAATATAAGGAAACACTAAATAATTTTAAGTGAACAAATCAGACAACATATAAACAAGTATCTAGAAATTACAAATTATCAAGTGACTAAAAAGGAAATAGAAAAATCTAAGCATAACTATATAAAAAGCTAAAGTATTTTTATAATTAGTAATTTTAAGATGTTTTAGGAAAATTTCATGTCCACATGGCTTCAGTGGTAAATTCTACCAAACTTCTAAAGAAATAATACTAATTCTTTACAAATTTTCAGACTATAGAAAAGAAGAACACGATTCTACATTACCACTGACGGGGTTGCACACACCTATGACAGGGGTTAGGGGTTTAGCTTGGTAGCAGAGTGCTTGCGAAGCAAGTGCAATACCCTAGGTTCAAATCTCAGCACAAAAGAAAAAAAATGCAGCAGGGAAGCAGGAAGTTACAACTTTATAAACTGGGGTAAAGACTGGCCAAAGACACATGCTGAGACAAGATTAAAAACTCAGGTATCTGGAAGCAGTGGTGGTGCACGCCTTTAATCCCAGTACTCGGGAGGCAGAGGCAGGAGGATCTCTGTGAGTTCCAGGTCAGTCTGGTCTACAGAATTCCAGGGCAGCCAGGACTACACAGAGAAACTCTGTCTCCCAGCCTCAACCTAGCTATCTAGGTCCGTAACTCCTGTCGGCCCAACTTCTGAGATCCCTTCAGTTCTAGGAATTTTCTTCTTCCAGTCACAGTTAGATAAACAACTGCTGCTTAAGGTCTTCCCGTCTTACATTCTTTGATCCCCTCACAGATCGCAAGGGACCCTAAATCCTTCCTGTCCTGTTGGGCTCAAGTAACTTGAATTTCTGAGGAGGGCTGTCTTAAGTTTTCAAAAAGAAAAAAGTAGACAGAGAGACAGAAACAGCAGAATTCCAGGGGAACTAGCAAGCAGTTCACAGAAGTCTGTCACATCATAATGGTATTCAGTGAGCTGACTCTAAGATCGGCTTTATAGGTCCCTAGATTATTTGCATTTCCTGGACCTCCATTTCTTCATCTATAAAATGGAGTAGTCTAGATAAAGGGAGAGCTAGCATAATAAATTCCCAATGTGGTGATTTCCCTTCCTATCTGAGTTGCCCAATGCCCACTTCACACAGCTCCACTGAATCACATCATCCTTACCCATTTATGATCACATTCTGCAAGGACAGAGAAGACTTAAAATTTCCTTATGCTAACCTGGGGCTTGGTAGATCAAAGAGGCTGAAGTCAAGAAGATCCCCAATGGCTGTTAGAACACATCCAAAGAGTTCAGAAGACAGGTAGAGGTTCCAGGTCCTGAGACTTACCTTCCCCCACAGCACTGGCAAAAGCAAGAAGGAAGGAAGCCTTTTTTCCTGACAAGTGATCCTAAACATTCTTATGACAACTCCAGGAAAGTGACCTCAATCCTCCTCTCAGGCCAGTAGGCCACCTAGGATCACATCCAATCTCTAGAATAATCCAACACATAGAAAATAGTAACCCTAAGATATCAGTTCCAAGGCTAAAAGGAATCCCTAGTTACCCTATATCTTAGTCCAAGATTGCCCAAATCTGCCCGAACACCCTCACTCACCTGTACCAAGAATGAGGCTAGCCAGCTATTTCGTCCTTAGGGTTACAGGTCAACAGCAGCTATCTCTAGAATCAGGACTCACCTGTAACAGAGAAAAGAGGTTTGTCAAGGGTCTTAACCCTTACATATTTTGAATCCTGGTTCCTATCATTTCAGACCATGCTGGGTGCTGTGAAGAAAATTTAAACACAGTCATGAAATAAAAAACAAGGAGTAAGAGTAGAACCTACTTCAGATAAAATGGCCAGAAAAAGACTTTCAAAGGATGCCATGAGAGCCGAGTGAGGGAAAAACCAAGAACTTTTCTTTTTAAAAGAATAGCAGTAATGAGCCATTATATAAATCTGATTCTTTGGAGACAGGATTTCATGTAGCTCAGGCTGGGTTTCAATTCACTATGTAACCAAAGGTGGCCCTCAACTCCTGATCCTCCTACCTCCCACTTCCCAACTCTGGTTGGGCACAGACATGCACCATACCCAACCCTGGTTCTGGTGCTGTCAGCCTACTGTTTTTGGTTTTCTGGTGGTTTTTTTGTTCGTTTGTTTTTTTAGTTTTTTTCCGAGATGGGTTTCTCTGTGAAACAGTCCTGGCTGTCCTGGATCTCACTCTGTAGACCAGACTGGCCTTGAACTCACAGAGATCCACTTGCCTCTGCCTCCCAAGTGCTGGGATTAAAGAAATTGTCACCACTGCCCAGTCAGCTGTCAGCCTACTGTCACATAAAGAGTTCAAAAAGGTCCATTACTTTTCTATAACTTACTTTCCTGTGACAAAAACCTGACAAAAAGCCACTTAAGAGCTGGCTCAGCAGTTAACAGCACTTGCTGCTCTTGCAGAGGACCAGTGCTTCATTCCTGGCACCCACAAGGCAGCTCACAACCACCTGTAACTCCAGTTCCAGGTGATCCATCGTCCTCTTCTGGCCTCTGCAGGCACCAGGCACATACGTGGTACACATACATACATGCAGACTAAGACACACATAAAGTGAAAATAAATCTGTTTTTAAAAAGCTACTTATGGGAGGAAGAATCTATTTAGGCTTTAAGATGGAATACAGGGGACTGAAGAGATGGCTCAGAGGTTAAGAGCACTTGTTCTTGCAGGGGTCAAGGTTCAATTCCTAACCACCACATGTGACACACAATCATCTGTAACTCTAGTCCAAAACTCTCTTCTGACGTAAGCAGGAACCTGGCACAATATGGTACACAGACATACATGCAAGCAAAACATTCTCACACATAAAATGAGTACTTTTTTTGAAAAGAAAGAAAGGCAGATAGCGAAGGGCTATAGGACTGGCATAATGGTTCAGTGGATAAAAGCACTTTACTGAGCCTGAGCACCTGAGTTTCATCCACAGGATCCAAAAGGCAGAAGGGAACTGACTTACCAAGAGGGCTGTCCTCTGACCTGTACACACACGTGTACATACACAATTAAATTAGTAAGTCAATATTAGAAACAAGGAGAAGAGATAGAGTCCCCCATGGATAGGGAGGAGGGCATAACAGCACATCATGTCAGAAGCAGAGGACTGACAGGAAATGAGGCGAGGCTATACAACTTCAAGCTCTTCCACAGTAACCTGCTTCCTCTAGGGAGGCTCCAGCTCCTAAAGTGTCTATATCCTTCCAAAAGAGTAACACCAGCTAAGGACAAAGTATGCAAATACATGAACTTACAAGGGACATTTCACTTTCAAACCACAACACAAGCTTTTACCATACTGGAGCACATTTTTCCCCCCATTTACTTATTCATGTGGGGGTGGAGGTATCTTGCACATGAGCATGCTATGGTACATGTGTGAAAGGTCAGAAGACAACTTGCAGGAGTCAGTTCTCTCCTCTCACAATGTGGGCGCCAAGCATTAAACTCAGGTTGTCACACTTGACAGCAAGTTCCTCTACCCACTGAGTCATCTTACTGTCCCCGCTCCCCCATCAATTAAAGATTGATTTTATTTGGGGGCTGAAGAGGTGGCTCAGTGGTTAGAAGTACTTACTTGCTGTTCTTTCAGAGGACCCATTTGTTTCCTAACACCTACACAAGACATCTTATAAACACTTGCCAAATGCAGCTCCAAGGCCCTCTTCTGGCCTCTGTGGACACCTGCACACATAGGGCATTTGCTCACAAAAACAGACACAAATAAATAAAAATAAGAAAAATAAATCTTAACACACACAGAAATAAAGATCATAAAGGATTAAGATTTATTTTTCTTACTTTTATTTATGTGTTTCTGTGTGGGTTTGTGTAAATGAATGTCAAATGTGTGCAGGTACTTATGGAAGCCAGAAAACATCAAATCCCCTGAAGCAACAGTTATAGGTAGTTATGAGCCTCTGGATGTGGGTACTAGAAGCCTTACTGTGTTACTATGAAAGAGTAACAAGTGTTCTCAGTCACTTAATCACTAAGCCATTTCTCCAGCCCCTGGAGACTATAAGGTTGAGATTATTAACAAGTAGGCTGTCCTGAAATATCTGATCAAAGTACCGTATACAATGATATGGAGACCTTTCTGAGAATCAGCATTTACCGTGTCCTATTTCTGGGAACCACATTACTATGGCCCAATTAACTGCAAGTTAAGACTGAAGGGAATTACTCCTCCCTTAGGCCATGCTATTTATATTAGAGCATTCCATCTAAAAATAGGGAATAGATTCTACAAAAGTATAAAGAAACCAGGAATATATACCTAGAGGCTAAGGAAAATAAGTCACAAAGTAAAATAAAATCATGAGAACACTGGAGCCTGGACAGCAAAGGTGGGATAATCAAGCAAAAGGCCCAAAGAGGGAGAAAGGGAATACTCCAAGGGGTAAAAGACTATAAACTTGACAGAAACAACCGACCATTTTCTATATTTGTAAACAAAATTTTAAACAACATGTCTTTACAGATCCCTTGGTTATTTACAATAAATGATTTCCAAAGTCTAAAGGAGGGCTACTTCAAAGGAGGTACTGAAGCTATCTTCCTGAGGGAAGGGGAAGAAGTAGGAAAAAAAAAAGACTCTGGAGTAGCAACCAGAGCAGGAGAGAACAGTCACAGAAGGTAATTGCAGCCTACTAGCTCCAAGCTCCCTCCAGCAATGCTCACCAGCAGAGGGCCTCCTCCAATCCACTTCTGCTATACAATCAGTACTTCTGGGCTCACAATGTACCCACACACAGGGAATGAAAGAATAACAGAGCTAACAGTCATTGTTTATAGCCAAGTTTGCATATGGATTTGCTAGTTCTATTCCAGCTGCCCTTAACCTTCCACTTTCAAAGCTGTCCTCAACCTTTCTATGAGTTCTGCTTTTCTTAGCCGTGACCAAACACTACAGTCTTGCAGTTCTTACAAGACTCCCATTCACAAAAATACCTAACCTTGACTAAAATAGTAAGTCCAAATGTTGTGTCCAGGTCACCAAGTGGTCCAGCAAAATCCCACCCTACTCTCTAACAAAGGCAGGTGTTAGAATGCCTGGCATAGTTAGTAAGTAACTTAATGTCAGACAGTAAGAACATAGTATATGCCAGAAAAGTTCAATTGAAATTCAATCCAGGCAGTCTCCAGCCTGCCTGGAGGAATGTCCTAAGAATACAACAGATGTGCAAATTCTTGCCTTTGCATATTCTGGGAACTAAGTAAGAACATTTCTCCTTCCTCAGCTGAAGCTGTCTCCAGTTTTCCCCTCCTCCTTCCCTAAGAACCAACCCTGCAGAAATTATCAAGGGAGGCACAAGTAATTACTGTTTTCTTTTCTCCATGCTAATGAGACAGTTGGATGGTTCCCCTTCCCCCTCTAGAGCTAGAAGGAGAATCTTGGGCTTTATAATCAGAAACCAACAATGCCAGACAGTGCTCTGTGCAACTGAGACTATACAGAAGATAGCTTTTCTATCTCTGATGAGAGCGGCACTGAAGGACTGCACTACCTGACAGGAGAGGTCAGACCAGAGCTAGGAGATCTGTCTAAAATCAGAGGAAAGTCAAGGGCAAGGAACCTCCTTATTCCCAACCAGTGTGCTTTCTACATTATCCAGACCTTGTAATGTAGAATAAGTGGGGTTCCCTCAAGGCGGAGGCTGAGAATGTAGGTTTCAAGTTCATGTCAGTTTTAACAATGTTATGTAGATGGGGACTCAACCCAAAACAATTGTCAGGATCTGAGACAATGGTAATCTTACACCTCTCCACCAAATTAACACCACAGGGGAATAGGATAGTTTCCACAAAAATTAGAAAGAGAATGTGTGGATTTTAGTTGGGATTCAGGTCATTTATACTAAGGGAAGATTATCCTAAAGGAAGAAAGAACCTCAGTTATAGTAAGGCCCTAAAGTGTCTATACTAGGATCTCAGGTTGCTTGTTCCCAGAAGAAACTATCAGAAGCTTCACAGATCAGAGTCAAAGGTAAAACAGAAAACTGAAAGACACCATAGCTCAGAGCCAGCCACGGTCAGTGAAAAAATCATGGTCTTTAGGAAAAAGCACCAGGTTTACAAATACTAAGCTGAGAAGAAAATGGTTAAAAGTGTTTAAGTGGGCCGGGCAGTGGTGGCGCATGCCTTTAATCCCAGCACTTGGGAGGCAGAGCCAGGTGGATCTCTGTGAGTTCGAGGCCAGCCTGGTCTACAGAGCGAGATCCAGGAAAGGCGCAAAGCTACACAGAGAAACCCTGTCTCGAAAAACCAAAAAAAAAAAAAAAAAAAAAAAAAAAGTGTTTAAGTGGAATAATTTATATAATTTAACAAAGCTTGGCTCTTTTGTTCGTTTTTGCTGGGAGGGGGTGCTTTGCTTTCTAACTTGAGACTCGCTTAGTGCTCTTCCTAGCTACCATAACTGTATCATTTCAGGTTCGGACTGAGAAATTTAAATTCAGTTATCCAACGAATTATGATTTCTCCCCCTCCCCATAAGGCCTGGGTATCAACCTTTCCTCCCTGTTATCTTATACTAGGCTATCTGTAGGGCTCTTGCAGCCATTCAGGACACCATCAGCTGACAATCAGGTTTACTATTAAAATAGGCTCAGGTCCATTTGAAAACCCCTACTGTGCCAGCTGCCT